CTCGACGGGGAACTGGCCGCGTTGGAACGACGTGAGGTAGTAACGGAGCATGACGTGTTCCTCGAGAGCGTTGAGGGCGCGCTTGCTCTTGGGTAGAGCTTTCGGGGTGCACACGAGCGCTTCGAGCTTCGCCGCAGTCACCCACTCGCGGTCGCGCTTGAGGCGTTTGTCGAGCTCGTCCAAGCCGTCGGCCTTCAAGAGCAACAGGGCGAACTGGCGAATCCACGTCTTGCGCTCGTCGTCCCATTCGCTATCGCTAGGGGACCAGGGAGTGGGGAGACCGTTGCGCGCATCGAGGGGAAAGTCCTTCGTGGCAACACAGCACGCCAGGTCCACGACCGTCTTCAATGTCTCGTCCTCGTTCAAGAAGTCGGGTGGGTGATTTTCGCCGGCAGGATCCTGTAATGCTGGGAGACCCTCGGCCTCGAGCGTGGCGGGAGAAATAAGCTCGACCAGCCAGAACACCAAGCACAGCTGGTTGAACATGAAGAGAATGCCTTGCTGAAGGGCAGTGTCTCCGGCAAAGAGAGCGCCCGAGGGCTGACACCCGCATGGCAGCAAGCCTATCGGGAAACCGACGTGGTGTGGATCAGTCTCCTCGTTGTGCTCCCCGGAGTAGAGGAGTGACGCTCCGACACCATCCGGGTCCGCCTCGGCAGCGTTCGTACGAGCTTCGCCATAAAGAAGCGGGTGCCCGTACACGCAAAAGTCGTTCAAGTTCCAGGCGTCGAACTCGATAGCCTCGCCGCGCTTGCGACCTGCTTTGTCGGCAATCGCGAGCTGAGCACGTTGCCAACGCCGCTTCCATGCGGGTTGCGATAAAAGATCCCTCCATTCATTCGGCCTCAGGCGACGAAGGTTTTTGTCGTTCCTGTTATCGCGCGCCATCCGCACGCGCGCGAGGAAAGTGGGAGAAAGCCAGAGTGCGAAGAGGAGGTGCTCGATCATCGTGTCGTCTGTCTTTCCCCGGTAGAGGACAGACATGGGCGGTGTCCACGTTGCCAGCGTCCCATCCCCTCGCCTCGCCTTCAGCTCCTTATCCTGCGGTGCGCCGTCCGGAGGCTTCACATATTTATCGAGGAGCTCGACGTGCTCGAGCGCCTTCGCCTCGACGGCGAGAAAAGCCGTGCGCGCTCGCGGGAGGTCCATGTCGCGGAGGACATTCTTCAAGTCATAGTATCGATTGAGAGCCGGCGCACGGGCAGCAAAGAGCTTGTAACGCTCTGCGGAGATGTCGATGGCGGGGTGCTTCTCGCGGAAAGTCG